AACTGATGGCCTCCAATGCTGTGTGCTGTGGTGAGTCTGCTTACCTGTATAAACTTTGCCTTCTTTTTCTCTTTAATCTCCATCAGACATTTGGTGAAAAGCTGCTCAGGGTGATGTCGTGGATCATGCCCATCTCTGTGGCTCTGTCCACCTTCGGAGGGGTTAATGGTTCCCTTTTCACGTCATCTAGGTCAGTCTTTATGCCGTGTTATTGCTTAATTACTCATTCAGTTTGCATTACATTTTAATGTCAGTGGATTTCTTTGTATCATCAGGTTGATTGACAGTTGTTCTTTCTCAGGTTATTCTTTGCAGGTGCGAGGGAAGGGCATCTTCCCCATCTGTTGGCAAGGATTCATGTGAACTGCTGTACACCTATCCCAGCTTTGCTTTTCACTGTGAGATCTTTCTTTCATTACTTAAAGGAATGGTTGGCCCCAAAATGAAATTTTGCTGAAATTTTACTCACCCTCAGGCCATCTAAATATAGATGATTTATTTATTTTTTCATAAGAACAAATTTGGAGAAATTTCGCATCTTCCCCGTCTGTTGGCAAGGATTCATGTGAACTGCTGTACACCCATCCCAGCTTTGCTTTTCACTGTGAGATCTTTCTTTCATTCCTTAAAGGAATAGTTGCCCCCAAAATGAAATTTTGCTGAAATTTTACTCACCCTCAGGCCATCTAAATATAGATGATTTATTTATTTTTTCATAAGAACAAATTTGGAGAAATTTCGTATTACACAATTGGCTTACCAATGGATCCTCTGCAGTGAATGGGTGCCGTCAGAATGAAAGTCCAAACAGCTGATAAAAACAGAGTAATGCACATGTAATCCGCACGACTCCAGTCCATCAGTTAACATCTTGTGAAGCAAAAAGCTGCCTGTCTGTAATAAACAAATTCATCATTAAGACATTTTTAGCTTCATTGTAACATTTTTTCACTGGAGAAAGCATTATTATGGATCATAGACTGGTGTATTGGCCGTAGTCAACGGTTTAAAGTTAAAATACCTGAATGATTTGTTTCTCACATGTGTCATGCGGATTACTTGTGCATTATTATTATGTTTTGATCAGCTGTTTGGACACTCATTCTGACGGCACCCATTCACTGCAGTTGATCCATTGGTGAGCAAGTGATGTAATGCTAAATTTCTCAGAATCTGTTCTGACGAAGAAACAAACTCATCTACATCTTGGATGGCCTGAGGCTGAGTACATTTTTACTCAAATTGTCATTTTTGTGTGAACTATTCCTTTAAATAATCTAAAAATCTTTGTTTTTGTAAGTATACAGTGTGTTGGTGTGTGCTTATATTCAAATCAAATACTGCTTTGTTTGATAGTGTATATCAACTCTGCTGATGTTGTGCACCATTGACATATACACCCTCATCAACTATGTTGGCTTCATAAACTACCTGTTTTATGGGGTCACTGTTGCTGGACAAATTGTGCTTCGCATTAAAGAACCAGACATACATCGGCCAATCAAGGTAAGTCTGAATCCTAATGACTTTATTTTGTAGTTTTTACAGTGTTAAACCTCAAGAGCTGTCAGATCTCAGCCTTTGCTGTGAACAGTAATGATGTATAATTATACATTTTCTTTTTTGGGTGGGGGGAGGGGGGCTGTGCAATTGTAGTCCTTTAACGTAATCAACAGGTTTCACTTCACAGGTGAGCTTGGCATGGCCAGTAATTTTCCTGATTTTCTGGACATTCCTGCTGATCTTCTCTTTGTACTCGGAGCCTGTGGTGTGTGGCATAGGTCTGGCCATCATGTTGTCAGGTGTTCCTGTATATTTATTTGGCGTCTATTGGGAAAACAAGCCCAAGAGCTTCAACTCATTTGTTGGTATGATAATATCTTAAATCTCAATTAATATTGATGGATGAAAATGATGTACAAATGTCAGTTATATTTGCAATATTTGCACTAAACGGATTGTGAATGAAGCCTACAGAGGCTACTAAAGACATTCCATCTGCTGTTGTCTGTCTACATAGTTAAACTGAATCATTTGTGGCAGAAGTTGTTCATGGTAGTATATCCCTCTGAGGGCAGTGAAAGATGGAAATGAAGACAAAGAGGAAGTTGGATAGGATTACAGGAAGTACATTTCCTGATTCATTAATGGATATTTATTCATCAGCTAAACTTAAGCAATTTGAGTCTGGTAGGTTTTGAAAATGCAAAACAAACATGCACATAGTGTGGAGAATAATTTAATAACTAAAAAAGTATTTTTCATTTGAAAGATACTCAAATTGTCATTTTTGTGTGAACTATTCCTTTAAATAATCTAAAAATCTTTGTTTTTGTAAGTATACAGTGTGTTGGTGTGTGCTTATATTCAAATCAAATACTGCTTTGTTTGATAGTGTATATCAACTCTGCTGATGTTGTGCACCATTGACATATACACCCTCATCAACTATGTTGGCTTCATAAACTACCTGTTTTATGGGGTCACTGTTGCTGGACAAATTGTGCTTCGCATTAAAGAACCAGACATACATCGGCCAATCAAGGTAAGTCTGAATCCTAATGACTTTATTTTGTAGTTTTTACAGTGTTAAACCTCAAGAGCTGTCAGATCTCAGCCTTTGCTGTGAACAGTAATGATGTATAATTATACATTTTCTTTTTTGGGTGGGGGGAGGGGGGCTGTGCAATTGTAGTCCTTTAACGTAATCAACAGGTTTCACTTCACAGGTGAGCTTGGCATGGCCAGTAATTTTCCTGATTTTCTGGACATTCCTGCTGATCTTCTCTTTGTACTCGGAGCCTGTGGTGTGTGGCATAGGTCTGGCCATCATGTTGTCAGGTGTTCCTGTATATTTATTTGGCGTCTATTGGGAAAACAAGCCCAAGAGCTTCAACTCATTTGTTGGTATGATAATATCTTAAATCTCAATTAATATTGATGGATGAAAATGATGTACAAATGTCAGTTATATTTGCAATATTTGCACTAAACGGATTGTGAATGAAGCCTACAGAGGCTACTAAAGACATTCCATCTGCTTCAGATTTCACTTCACTTCCTACTATATCTTATTCCAGTTTACCTATTTATGAGAGACTAGTATCTCATTTGTGCCTGTTGCTACCAAATGAATAGACTTTCATTAGACTTACGTTACAAAAGATTTCTGGAAAAAAAACATTCACAAAAAAAAAAAGTAGTAGTAAGAAATGCTATTTTGAGTACTAACTCAGCATATTAGATTGACTTTGGGATCATGTTACACTGAAGACTGGAATAATGACTGCACATAAACAATTTAAATGACATTTTTGATCAAGTAAATGGAGCCTTGATGAACAAAAGACTAAAAACATTACTGACCACACACTTTTGCACATTAGCGTACTAGTAAAATTGAAATAGGTAGGCCTGTCAGCAACAGCCAGAAAACGATATTAGTTATTTTATGGAATACACGTTCAGATGGCTTGTCATACTTTGTTACATTCATTGTATAATTTACCATAAAAATATTCGAAAAATCAGTAAATAGTGTATGGGTCCTTTAAATACACACTGCACACACGCATTTTTCCAGTTCCAGAGCAGCTGGACGGGAATGAATGGCACACCCGGATGGCGGAAGTTGCGCTTATACTATGAGGCTTATGGACACATTTGTAAATACTCTTACAGCGTAAAGTTACTCGCACAGTAAAATACCTCGTCTGGTTAACAACGGTTACATCGCAAGGTTGAACAGAAGAGAAGGAGCGGATGAATTAGGCACTGAGCAGCCGGCAGTCTTCGGCGATTGTAATTACTGCGCTGCCAAAAGGTAAGACGACGAGCCGGAGATCAGATGCTGGAACGTCAGCGGACAGAAACACAGGTTGACAACACTCGGGACCTGAACAAACGACTTGCCACCGAAAAAGTATAAGTAATACTCAATTTAAACACAAACAGATGCAGTGTTCCACAAAGCAAGAATGCCGCGCTAATTTATCGCAGTTTTCATGTCTTTCCTGTCGTTATCGTCTGACTGTTGACGTTTCATCAGTATTATATTGCATCTGATTTGGCTGCACACACAGCGTTTGTGTTTGAAGATGGTGGATCGAGGAAACTGTCTATATATGAACACATGGACTGCGCTGTAAATAATATATATGATGACGGTTGTATTATTAGATGTCAAAACGATAATGAGATGTGGAATGCGTTTTGATAGGAACGAACGTCACCGCGACTGAAGGCCGCGTAGCGCGCGCGGTGCGCATGCGGGCATTAATGTAGTAATCAGCATGGGAAGATCTGAAGTAAAAACAGGTGTATGTTCCTCACCTGCGCCAAAGAGGAAGTAAAGTGACAGCCCCAAATAATCTATAAACTACTTACAGAACAGTTTTTAAAGTAATAGTGCAGACATAAAAACAAATTTCTCGAACACAACACGGTTTTTGTTCATGCAATGAGGGTATATAATGACCACAGGCTGTCACGCTTCAAAAGGTTTGCCAGATTTACTTATAATGTTGCAAAAGAAATCAAATCTCTTTCTTTGTTCTTTTGAACTTTGTATTCGTAAAAGAAAAAACGTATTACGGTTTCTACAAAAATATTTGGCAGCACAATTGTTTTCAACATTGATAATGATACGAAATGTTTCTTGAGCACGAATTCAGCATATTAGAATGTTTTCTGAAGAATCATATGACACTGAAGACTGGAGTAATTACTGTTTTTACTGTATTTTTATCAAATAAATGCAACATCAGAAATACAACATAAAAGACATCTTTTAAAAAAAAAACACTTTTAGTCCATATTTACTTACAAATAGTTCTTTGTTTATTTAAAGTGAAACCAGGTAAGACCCACAGAGTTGCAATTTAATAAAAAAAAAGTAATTGAAGTCAAGTTTATGTACATATATGTGATTGAATCAAGTACCAAGAAACTGCCAATACAAAGTCCTTGCTTTGTGCTGGGTATGTACTGGTTCCTCTTTCAATTTCTATGAAATGCCTCTCTCAATCTCTCTGATTACAGATACAGTCATGACTCCCTCAGTGCGTTTACAGGAAATGATCCGGGTCATCCGAAGTGCCCGGACGCAAGGTGAGGAGAGGGGCATCATCCAAAAAGAGTGTGCAGATATCCGAGCACAGTTTCGCCAGGGTGACAATGGGGAGCGTTCGCACAGCCTGGCAAAACTACTCTACGTGCACATGCTGGGCTACCCTGCGCACTTCGGCCAGGTAACTGTCAACATGTGTGTGCGATTGCACTGATGGATAATGAGATTTTACATCTCTGATTGTGGATACATCACATCATACCACCTCATTTATTTCTTGTCTGTGCATCCTTCTCTTTCTGTACTCATATTATGTTTTTTGGTCATCTTTTCACCTGTTATATATCTTTATATGATGATAACTTTAGTATTGACTCCTGCAGATGGAGTGTGTACGTCTGATTGCCAGCCCCAGGTACAGCGAGAAGCGGATTGGTTACCTGGGAGCCATGATGCTCCTAGATGAGAAACAGGATGCTAGTTTACTGATCACCAACTCAATCAAGAAGTAAATACTTTACATATTTTTAAGCAGAATGCCTTTTGTAATTTTTATTTATTTTTTTTCCCCAAAGAATAGCTTGCCCAAAAATGAAAATGTACTCACCCTCAAGCCATCCAAGATATAGATGAGTTTGTTTCTTCATAAGAACCGATTTAAAGAAATGTAGCATTACATCACTCGCTCTCCAGTGGATTCTCTGCAGTGAATGTGTGCTGTCAGAATGAGAGTTCAAACAGCTGATAAAAGCATCACAATAATCCACATGACTCCAGTCCATCAATAATATCATGTGAAGCAAAAAGCGTTGTCTTTGTAATAAACAAATCCATAATTATAATGTTTTTAAACTTAAAACCTCTTTTTGGACTCTCATTCTGACGGCATCTGTTCACTCCAGAGGATCCATTCATGAACAAATAATGTAATGCAAAATTTCTCCAAATCTGTTCCGATGAAGAAACATGATGGCTTAAGTGTAAATAAGTTTTCAGCAAATTAAACTTTTTGAGTGAACAATCCATTTAAATAAATGTGCTTTTATTTTATATAAACACATTTTCTTTGATTTATTTACTTATTTTTTTATTTGCTTTTATTTAATGTAATTCAAGTTTTGAATCATTATTCTGACTGGCCATTTTATCTCCGTTGTAGTGACCTTTCCCACAGCAGTCAGTATGTTCAGTCTCTGGCTCTATGCACTCTGGCCTGCATGGGTTCAGCTGAGATGTGTCGAGATCTGGCACCAGAGATTGAACGGCTCCTCAGGGCATCTAATTCTTATATCAAGAAAAAGGTCAGTTCATGACATTTTATGTCAATAAACATATAGTTTAAGTCATGTCAGCATCTAAACTAACACACTCCTGTTAAATTATGTTTTATTTCTGTGTACTGTTGATAATGATTAATGATTTAGGCCACGCTGTGTGCCGTCCACATAATAAGAAAGGTCCCAGAGCTTGCAGAGCTGTTTACTCCTTCAGCAAGGTCTCTGCTCTCTGAAAAGAACCATGGTTAGTGTTTCTTTTTGCAACCTATGCATAAACATAAAAAAATCTTATTATGTGCAGTGTTTTTAATGATTTTTTAAAAATAATTGCCTGACTCTTTCCACAGGGGTTTTGCATGGGGCTGTAGTTCTTATCACTGAATTGTGTGAGCATAATCCTGACACTCTTGATCAGTTCCGCAAGGTAATTCAAGTGAATTTTCTCCAAAGCCTTTAGTTTAACTACTCAGTTATACAGACTTTTATGATTTTTTTTTTCTTACCATTTCATTAGGCTGTTCCTGAACTGGTTCAGATTATGAAAGGTCTTGTGACATCCAGTTATTCTCCTGAGCACAATGTAGCTGGTATCAGCGACCCTTTTCTACAGGTCTTGTTGGCTACAGTCAAACTCAATATCACTCTTTATTACAACACACTTTCTATATTTTATACTAAACTCTCTGAATATTAGGGTTTGATTGGTCTCTTTCTGTCCCTCAGGTTCGCATTCTTAGATTGCTAAGAATCCTGGGCCACAATAATGACACCGCTAGTGATGCCATGAATGACTTGTTGGCACAGGTACAACAGAACAAACACACCCTGTGTAATGTAGTTATGTATATTTAAAGCAGAGTTTATAATGCTTGATCTTGGTGATTCTGATGCACAGGTGGCTACAAATACAGACAGCAGTAAGACTGCAGGCAGCGCTGTGCTGTATGAAACAGTCCTAACTATCATGGACATCAACTCAGAGAGCGGGCTTAGGGTTGGTTACAATTTCATATTCAGTTTTATGTTGAGTAGGGATTGATTTAAATGGGAGCGTGGACTGGCGTTTCTGTAGTTTATTTTGGGTCTTTAAATGCATCTAATTTATGTCTTTTAAGGTGCTAGCTGTAAATATTCTGGGCAGATTTCTACTTAATAATGACAGGAATATTCGGTAAGTTTCTTCTTTATTTTAATGCTTCAATATTTAAAATAATTAAAATCTTAATTAAATTAGATCTAACAGTTATTTTATTTTATAATTTAAAGGGGTCATATGATGCTGCTAAAAAGAACATTATTTTGTGTATTTGGTGTAATGAAATGTGTTTATGCGGTTTAAAGTAAAAAAAACACATTATTTTCCACATACTGTACATTATTGTTTCTCCTCTATGCCCCGCCTTCTGGTTTCTACTGCAGTCGTGCATTGGAACTGTCACTTGCCCTTGTGTCTGCTGTGAACATTCGCTCAATGATGAAGGAGCTGCTAATTTTTCTTTCAACCTGTCCCCCAGAGCTTCGATCTCAAACCACTTCTGGCATCTTCAACGCTGCTGAAAGGTATCAACAGTCCTTTGTACTTCATATCTACCTGTTAGTTTCATCCATTATATGTCTATTTGTCTGTGGCTCGGCCCTGTTCATTTTTCAATGTGTCTCTCCTATTGAACACTCACATCTGAGCAAGTACCTCTCTTACGTTTGCTCTCATACGGGACAATGTCCAGTGAGTTGGTTTCTGTAAGGCATGCCTACGTTTAATGCACATCCCCATCATTTCATTAACTGGCAATGTCAGTGTAAGCTAATTAAAATTCATGAGCTCAGTCTTTGCTATTTTGTGACGTCTCAGCACACCATAATTGGCCCACCCATTCTAAAACGCATCAAGTAGGAATCTCAATATATTGCTTTTTTTGTTTTCTGTGTTAACTTGTCTATCTTTGTGTGTATGTGGCAAGTCACAGGCACTGAACAGCACTGGTCTTTGTGTCTTGGACAGGTATTCCCCTTCTAAGCGCTGGCACATTGATACCATCCTGCATGTACTCACCACGGTAAATAGCCACTGCTATGCAACCAAACCAGTTACATACCTCCTAAAATATGATGAAAAGTCATCCCATTGACAAATAAACAATGATGTTCAGTCTGGTAAAACCTTATTGTTTGGTTATAGTTCATCCAAAAATGTCATAATAACAGTCAACACAGTATTATTTTCTTTCTTCTATGAAACAATTGGACATCTTAGGCACAATGTTAACTCACATTTCCATGCAATGAAAATAAATGGTAAATTTTACTGGTAAATGGTAGTATACGATTGGTGTGCATTATTTCATGTCTTCTGAAGCCATACTATAGCTTTGTATGAGGAACAGACTTTAATCTTGTTTGGTAAAATCTCCTAAAACTCACTTTCATGTTTCTCGTCAAATGTACGTAGCCCTGCACATGACATGCAGACAAAAATATATCGCCATAGCCACTAATTAGGAAATGGTTACCACAAATAAAGAAATTGTTCCCTCATTTCAGTTAAATCATGGCCACAAATAAAAAAATATTTATTTTTCCTCCGCATGTCATGTTCAGGGCTCTATAAAATGAGTTTGAACAACATGAGAGAATCAGTTATTTAAATTTAAATGATGTACACCTCTCTTAGGCGGGGGGCGATGTAAGAGATGAGACTGTGCCCAACCTAATCCAACTCATCACTACTGCATCTGAGCTTCACTGTTACACTGTTCACAAACTCTATCGAGCACTTGTAAAAGATATTTCACAGGTAAGTACACTTTTATTCGCTTATTAGTCTGTAAACAATATTACGCATGTGTAAGTGCTCTTTTACAAGAGATGCGTTCTGGAATCTTGGAATCTTGTGTGTTTTAGCCATTGAGCATCTCTGGACCATGAATACAACATTTTTAGGATGTTGTCCCATTTTTTTCAAGCATTTTTGATTTCTGTATGCCCTTTGTACGTGCTTGTGTGTAATAGACAGTTTATCTTCACAGCAACCCTTGGTCCAAGTTGCATGCTGGTGTATAGGAGAATATGGAGACCTGCTGCTGAAGGGCGAGTGTGAGGAGATTGAGCCTGTGCAGGTAAACAGATATGAAGATTATATAGAAGGCATTTGTGGAGCACCAATCAGAGTCTCTATAGAATCAATGTGAATCTGACAAATAAATTGATACATATAGTGTATTTTATGTTGCAAGTCACTTACAGAAAAGTATCCAAAATGACTTTTTGAACAAGTACCATAATGGTGCCAAGTTGTTCTCTTTTTGGAGTATCATGTAAATATCATTGTACATGAATATGCTAGTTATTGTGGTAGGGCTGAGCCGTTAACTAGTCAATAGACTAGCATGCTTTACTTTTGCATGTAAATTTTAACGGTAACTATGAGATTGTCAGCAAGATAAAAACCTTCTGAGAAGTTGTGTCTCACAAACCTACCCAATTATAATAATTTATCCTTAAAACCAACTAGTCAGTTTTGAAAATATGTAGTTTTTCTTTACACTCTGTATGAAATTACCATGGTACTAATAGCTGATGCCACCCTTTTACCACCAAAGTGATTGTTTTGTAAGGATAGAGTAAACTGAGTTTTGGGCTTTTTTCTGTCACTAGGTTACTGAGGATGACGTCCTGGATGCCTTGGAAACAGTTCTACAGTCTCACATGTCATCGCCCGCAACCAGAGGCTTCGCACTCACTGCTACCATGAAGCTGAGCACTCGTATCACAGACAATGTCGAGTGAGACATGCTTTTATGAAATACTGGCAAGTTAGACAGAATTAAAAAATGATGGATGAACCAATTACGTTCGGGCCAATTATTATTTAAAAGTTTTACTGTATTTTTTTCTTAATATATCAAAAATAAAACACTAAAAACAAGTGCTACAAGTAAGTTTAGGCATCAAAAAATCTCAATCTCATTTTGAGATCTGCTAAAGATTACATATAATGGTGTTATTCATGCATTAGGTTTTTTGTTTTGTTTTTTACTTTATTTTTTATTAACTTTAGCATTCAGTTGATTAAATGTCACAGTAAAGACTTTTACAATGTTACAAAAAAATCAATTTCAAATAGATGCTATTCTGTTGAATTTTCTATTCATTGAAGAATCTGAAAATTTAGCTTTGCCAATCTCATTTTGAGATCTGCTAAAGATTACATTTAATGGTGTTATTCATGCATTAGGTTTTTTGTTTTGTTTTTTACTTTATTTTTTATTAACTTTAGCATTCAGTTGATTAAATGTCACAGTAAAGACTTTTACAATGTTACAAAAAAATCAATTTCAAATAGATGCTATTCTGTTGAATTTTCTATTCATTGAAGAATCTGAAAATTTAGCTTTGCCATTACAGGAATAAATAACATTTTGAAATATATTTAAAAAGAAAACTTTTATTTTAAATTGTAATAATATCTCAATATCTTTACTGTATTTTTCATCAAATAAATGCAGCGCTGGTGTACAGCTAAAAAAGGATGATAACTTTTAAAATATATTTAAAAAGAAAACTTTTATTTTAAATTGTAATTATCTCAATATCTTTACTGTATTTTTCATCAAATAAATGCAGCGCTGGTGTACAGCTAAAAAAGGATGATAACTTTTATGGTATCGAATACGTACATCCCTAGGGAAAAAAATCACTCACACAAACATACTTTATTTGTACTTTATCTGTTTGGTCTTACAGCTTTTTCATCTTTATGTTTTTTTTCTCAATCAGCCGAATCAGAAGTATTGTCAGTATCTACGGCAGCTGCATTGACCTGGAACTTCAGCAGAGAGCGGTCGAATATAATGCACTCTTTAAGAAATATGACCACATGAGGTACCGCCGTGTGTTTTCATAGAATATTATTGTTCATTAAAAAACATCATGCATGAATGGTGCTGCTTTTCAATGTTTTCTTCTCAGAGCTGCAGTATTGGAGAGAATGCCTGTGATGGATAAGAACTCACCTGGCCACACTAATGGAGACACATCAGGAGAAAATAAGGAGCCTGACCCATCCAAACCCAAACCAGTTGAGGCAGGTTTGCTCTCAGAACCAGCAAGCCAGGTAATAATCATAGGATATTGTATTTAGTCATAGAACTGTTAAACAGTAGTGAAATCTTTTTTTGTATTTAAACTTCTGTTAAAGGTGTGTGACCTTTTGGATCTCTTGGGTGGGACGGACACACCTCTTCAGCCCAACCCTGCCCCAACCAGCACTCCAACAACTACCTCTAGCGCAGATCTTCTTGACCTGCTGGGAGGACTGGAGCCGACACCAGGTGGGAACATAGATACCTGAAGAACTCGCCATTCCTCCAGCTGCATTTTTATCTTTTTTTCCCTGAAAGATATACAAGTTTGGGATCATAAAGATCTTTTTTTTAAAATCTGCAAAAATGCGTTAAATTGATCAAAAAATGGCAGTAAAGAAGACATTTACAGTGTTACAAAACATATCTATTTCAAATAAATGCTGTTCATTTGAACTTTCTATTAATCAAAGAATCCTGGAAAAAAATGTGTCATGGTTTCCACAAAACATTGTTGTGTTTATGTGCATGTAGTTCTCACTGAGACTATGAGAGTCTATGAGAAGAATGGATTGAGCCTGGAGATCCAATGTGACAAACAAACAGAAACCGAGGTCATGGTCACCCTTATTGGCTCTAACTCTACTCAGAATGACATCACCAACTTCAATCTTCAAGCAGCAGTGCCAAAGGTCTGTACCTGCTCCACTTTCAAACTTAGCCCTGTTTTAGCACGCACAAGCAGCAGATATTCATTTCAGCAGCCATATTAACAGGTCACAGCATTCACACTGTTCACGAATATTAGTTCTGCATTGAACACTTTTTTGCTTCATGCTGCACTTTGAACTCAGGAAAACTCACTGAATCCAAACTATTTAAGTAGATTATATTCTGTACTTCAGAGTTTTGGTTACGTTCTGTGTAGATTAATTACTATATGGGTGTAATATGGTTTTCCACCACATGCAGATTAAAATTCCCAATAGGTTTTAGATATATTTAATGGCATTCCTGATAACCATTTTATAATTTATGGCATTTCTTAAAATGAAGTACTCTGTTATTGTCTAGTTACCTTCAGTTGATCACATTGTAGCTTTGAAGATTTTTTCCTTTTAAAACCCCACTATTTTTATAACTTAAGATGATTTTTATCATCATTACTTTAGAAAATTGGTCTTTGATTATTAATTAGTTTTAATTTGCTTTCAATTTCTTTTAACATACAAATACCCTGTAAAAAAAAATGCTTAATGTTTTGTTATTAAGCAGGCCTTACTATTTCTATTTTATTTTTTTTAAATCTATGTACACGTTTAACTTGAGAAAGAAATTACATTTTTCAGAAGCGTTTGGATGCTGTCATCTCTTAAAAACTATAATATATCCCCTTTAGAGTGTTCAGCTGCAAATGAAGGCTCCGAGTGGTAATGTGATTCCAGCACATGGCCTTGGTCAAGTCACACAGACTGTTGTACTCAACAATCCTAACAAGGCAAGTCTACCCTGCTTATTCTTGTGCAGCTGTCTTTCTCACTGAACTAATCAGCACTATTTATGCTCAAGCTTGACTATACTTTTATATCCCCCCTATAGGTCAGCCTTAAGATACGGATCCGAGTGTCTTACTCAAATCAGGGTGCAATGCATCAGGACACAGTACAAATTGACTCCTTTCCTAGCCCAGCCTGTCAGCCATCAATCAGCCCTTTGTGACACCTACACGAGTCCAGCATCTCCATGACTGTCTTTTCCATTAAGATGGAAATTTAAGGAAATAGGCAGCTGTCTGTCAACCTCTCTATTATGGACTAAATGCTGTCCCAGCACAGATTCGTTACAATGGGTTTTTATGAAGTGTTATCTTGGTTTGAATTGTCTAGAACAAAGTGTGGTTTCATGTGCTGTCGTTACTGCGCAAGATTAAACAGTCAAACAAATGTTCACTATTATTAGATAAGATCCTTTATGCACGGTCTCTAAATAAGTTGAACTTGAATTACTGGCATCCTTCATGTGTACCTCCGTAACTGATTCTGGGAACAAACAACATGAGCTGTGAGGTCAGTTGAGCTCCAATTGCATTACTGTTATCATTACTGTTACCTTTCTCGTCATCATTTTTTGCCATTTTACCTTTTCCTCTCAAAGTCTCGAGATATACCTAGAGCACCATTGTATCATTTTATTGACGGTGAATGTGAACTCACATATTTAGAATGTACGATTCAAATTTCTCAACCTCATTGTGTGTGTGTGAAACCATAAATATCCATTGTTTATTCTTCTTTCATCCAAACAAAATACAATAAATCATATATACGGTATAATGCACTGTGTTTGAGTTTTAGGAAGATGATAGTTTAGTCAGCATCTCTTTAATGATACAACATGGCTTAAAGAGCCAGGGTTGTTTTAGTTAACTAAAACCTTTATGACCACAATTAAAACCATTATACTTAACTAAAACACTTTTGTTATCTGAAATAAACTTTGAAATAAAAAAAAATTTGAACCAGTTGCCATAGCAACATTTCTCATTTTCATTTAGTTTAGCTTGATGTACTAAACTAAATATACAGACATAAAACAAACTAAATGAAAAAAAAATATTTTTTAGAAATTCAAAATATTACTAAAAAACTACAATAGTTTCTCAGTACTAAACACTGTCAAGAGCTGGATGAGGAGAATGAGTTCAATTATTTTTTTTTTAAATAGCAAAGGATAATGCAAACTAATTTTCTTTATGAGCCTTTATAAGGGAGCAGTGTCTATCTTAACTTAATTAAACACTTTTTTAAGTGCACTAGTTTTTTAGTCATATACTGCAGAATGAAAAGGGCAGAAACAAACTTCAACATGAACTAAAATTTAGGTTGTAAACTGTTCAGAATGCATATGCATATGTTCACTGTGATCACACTAACATGTGATTTATGAAAAGCCAAATGTCCACTTTTGGCTGTAAACACCAGAGCCTCCTGGCAATCCTGCTGTTTGTTTTGATGTACATGATAACACAGATTTCTTCTATTTACAATCTTAACAGAATAGATTAGAGGAAAGACACTGGGTGTCTGCAGGGCTAGTGCAGGTTTTGGCCTCCTCGGAGAGCCAGAACTAAATGCAGAACAGATCCTCCCTGGATCTTGTAGTCAGCAGCAGTCTTCTCATCATTCCTGAAATAAAGAAGGACAGGCGAGAATGATTTTTCCCCTCAATAGCTGAATTCAAACTGACGTATTAACGGGGAACTTTACATTTGTTTTCCGCTGTAAATGAGTCTTTGCTGTTGTGGTGGGATCCCCTCCTTTTCCTCCACCCTCTCTTTGATTCTCTCCACCTTGATGGTAAAAGAGATGAAAATAAACTTCCAAATACTTCCAAAGATAAAGAAATACGATCCACATTAAGCACATCAATCATACCTTGTCTGTAGGCTCGATGTCAATTTCTATTTCTTTGCCTGTGAGTGTCTGAGAAACGATACAAAATTGTTTTGTTTCCGACACACCGGATTCACTCAACTACTAATTCACTTTGACAAGTCGGTTAATCTTTCATTAAATTCAACACATCAAATAATACTGGACAGAATAAACCAGGTTAAAACAGGCCGCTACAAGCTAAGACAAAATTCACTTACCTTAACTTTAATCAACATATCGATGGCTGTATTTTAGCTCATACAGATTAAACAGAAATTAGATAATATTTTTTAACAATAGTAATTGTTAAAAACCTAGTGCAAATGAACCGGCTAAAATGCTTCTGCAGAAAAAAAAGCTCCCTAACTTCCCGTGTATCTGAAATAAACTCCGGGTGTTTTGGTAGAAACGCGATGGTTCCGCTTTTCGATGTCTTTGATGGGCGCGCTCGAAACACAGCTTCTTCTTCTTCTCTCGAGTTTTTTTGGCGGATTGGCAAACCAACGTTAAAGGTGCATGTCCGCCACCTACTGGTCTGGAGTGTGAAACGTACAGTTCAGCTATGAATTAGGCTATTCAACTATTATAGATAATAAAATAAAAAAAGAATAATAATAAAATAAACCAAAAAAAATTTACGTAAATAAATACAAAATTCCAAACTTAGAACACTTTCCATTAATCTTGTCTTTTTTAAATACTTAAACAATTCTCCACATATTCTTGATTGCATTACCCCATAACCTAATAGTGTCTTTAGAGATAGATATACTATTAATTCCCATCAGTTCCAGTTCTTGGAACATCTGATGTCTTTCAAACGCTATACATATTAAAAGAACATGCTCAACTGTTTCTGGTAGACCACATTTATCACAATTGCCTGTTTCATGTTTCCCTATTATGTGCAAACTGTTATTTAATGCTACATGTCCTATTCTCAATCTAGACAAGATAACCTCCTTCCTTCTATTTCCATAACTTACTCTCTCTTTAGCAACACGCTCCTGGATCTTAAATAAATGCCTCCCTTTTCTTTCATTTTCCCAACTTTTTTTTGCCATTTCTTTTCAACTTCTATATATATCAATCTCTTTATTTCAGTTTTACTTATTGTAATTTGGAATTCAACTTGTGGTTGTTCCAGGGTCTTCTTTGCAAGCTGATCAACTCTCTCGTTCCCCTCTACTCCAACATGAGCCGGCACCCAAAGAAAATAAACCAATAACCTTAACTGCCTTATCCTATAAATACTCTGTAGAATTTCATATAATATGTCCTGTCGTGCTTCTGATATTTTTTGTTCAGGTAATGATACCCTACTACTCCCTACTTCATTCTTCTTTCCAACTTTCTTTAGCGCTTCAGAATACGATATCCCTTCCTCGACTCTGACCGTCTGAACTTGCGCCGCCTGCTTCCTCACCTTAACGTACATCCTCCGTATCCCGCACTCTGCTCTCCTCCGCAATTACAGCATTTGGGACTAATTTCTTGCCCACATTCACCATATTCATGTTCACCCCCACATCTTGCGCATCTCTGTTTACCCCTGCAAACTGCCGCCACATGCCCGTACCTTTGGCACTTATAACATCTCAGAGGAGGAGGAATATATGGCCTGACCATATAACTTACAAATCCTAAGAAGACTCTGCTAGGTAGCTTATTTTCATCAAAGTGAATCATGACTGAGAGACTGTCAATTTTTTCATTGTTTCTAGTACACTTCAATC